CTATTACCTAAGTAAACAAGAAATAAGCAACTTCCAAAACTCTAGAAATGACAGAGATATCTTGCTGGCTGGAGAGTCACCCAAAGTTCCTCTGTACTGTTGGGGCATCCATCTTTGGCCTACAGGCCCATAGTATCCAGCAGACATTTCCATGAAGCAGGAAATTTCAAAGGCAGTTCAGTCACTATCTGCTGTGTCCTGCAGAATGTCTTGCAGACTCTTTCATGAATCAGGAACCCTGAAAGATCATTTCACCTTCAGGCAAAGTCCTTATGCAACAGTCCAGGCAAGAGCAGTTTCTTGCCCAAATGGCTATCAAACTCCATAAGGAGCCACTTCAATGCCCATCTTCCTCTTGAAGTAGATTGTTGCTGCCAGGAGCAGACGTGTCTCATTGTCATGAAAAGTCCTAAGTTATTAAAACATTTAAAATGCCATATTCTATGGTTTTTGAAAGATATGAAGAATGCCTATCTGAAATATATCTATGCACATCTAGAAAATCTAACTAACATGACTATAAGCTTGACTATTATTGATGATTATCCATTAACAACCTATATTTCCTAATTATACATTACATTTTTAAATGGACTACACAATCACAGTACCTTAATCAAGGTCAGAAATATACATATACATATAACAAAATTGACCTTAAAATCCATACCAAGGCAAATGATTCATATCTATATCATACCCCCTTTAAATGTAAAAGAACATTTATAAACAATATTTGGGAATATGGACGTAGTTATTTCTCTCCAAACTTTTTCCTGCTGTATAGGGGTGCTGTTAATTAGGTCTTTCATGGTATAACCTATGTGCTAGGTTCATCTCAGTTGGCAGTTGAGTGAAGTAATTTTCTGAAGGTGTTCACAGCAACCTTTCAGGAGGGCATGCCCTATCATACCATATTGGGATAAAAGCAATCCACAGGGTCTCATCTTCTGTGAAAATAAAAGAACTTTTCCAAAGCGTCATAACCTTAGATCCAAATTTTGAAGTCAAGGTATTTTCAAAATATCTATCTTGGATTAGTTCAGCAGCACTTATAAACAAATATATTTTAGCAGCTGTTGCTCCTTCCTCAGCATTCAAACAATTCAAAGAGAGCATAATAGCATACAGTATCAAGATTCTCTGTGTATTTTCCATCTTTGTGTGGCTTTATTTTAACCTCTATTTCATTTATTTTTACTTTTATTTTTTGAGACAGGTTCTCTGTATATCTTTGTCCTGGAATAACTCTGTAGACCAGGCTGTCCTTGAACTCACAGAGGTCACTCTGTCTCTGCCTCCCAGCATTGGGATTAAAGGTGCGTGCTACCATACCTTGAATTCACAGAGGTCAATCTACCTCTGCCCCTTGAAGTCTCAGAGGTCAATTTACCTCTGCCTCCTAAGTGTTGGGATTAAAGGTGTGTACCACCACACCCAAACTACTCTCTTTCTTTTTTTATTTTTAAGGACTTTTACCTTTAGCCTGCATATATTTTTTGACACACTGTAAACCATTTAGAGGTTTTCTTCCTATTTGAATCTCTCTTTACTTGATATCTCTCTCTTTTTCTGACTAAATGAGTCTTTAAGGAGAGGATTAAAGCCGTGGCTTTGACAGCTGGATCCAGCCCATTTCTTAGCTTTCTGCAATTCCAGCCTTGTAGCTGAGGTACTGGCCAGAGCCACATTCATTGCCACAACTCTACTGTGTCTCAAGGTCCCTGCCAGCAAGCAAGCTGCAGCATTCTGCTCACAGATCACACTCAAGTACTTTGGGCTTCCTGACTGAAAGCATCAGAGTTTGCCCTGGCAGGACGACCCAGAAAACTGGCATTTTAAAATGGTTCAGCTCTTTTCCTACTATGGCTGAAAACTGAAAAGCATGCAGTCAGCTTTTCCTCAACACCATTTAAGTGTTTTGTGGCAGGACCTCTTAAAAGAGCTGCAGGGTTTTGCAGCTAAAGCTGAGTCAGGAAGCCTCTCTTAGAGGAGAGCGCTTGCTTGCCTCTAGCAAGCAGAGCAGACCCGAGAAATTGCTGCTACCAAGAACACATGCTTCACTCTATTCTTTCCCAAGCTTTCTCGGGCTTTCTGTGGATTCAGTTATCCACATCTGGGTGCCATTTGTAGTGATGAGGTGAGCAGGCTGGCTTTTCATCCCACCCAGTTCCCACATGATTAGCTTTACACTCAAAATAACAACACACAAATTGTATTCATTTAAACACTGTCTGGCCCATTAGTTCCAGCCTCTTCTTGGCTAATTCTCACATCTTGTTTTAACCCATATTTAGTAATCTGTGTTACACCACGAGGTAGTGGCTTACCAGGAAAATCCTAATCTGCGTCTGTCTCAGGTCAGAGAATCATTGCGCCTGCCTGACTCTGCTTTCTTCCTCCCAGAATTCTGTTCTGTCTACTCCACCTATCTAAGTTGCTGTCTTATCAAAGGCCAAGGCAGTCTCTTTACTTGATCAATGAAAATAACACATAGAAGACCCACCTACATCAACTAACAGAGGTTATGACTCAAATGGACTTAACAGACATCTATAGAATATTCCATCCAAACAGAAAAGAATATACCTTCTTCTCAGCACCTCATGGAACATTCTCAAAAACTGGCCACATACTCATAACAAAACAAACCTCAACAAATACAAAAAAATGGAATAGCCCAATGTACCTTATCAAATCACCATGGTATAAAAATTCTACCAAGGAACTTCTATAACTCATAAACACTTTCAGCAATGTAGCAGGATACAAGATTAACTCAAAAATATCAGTAACCCTCCTATACACAGATGATAAAAGGGCTGGGGAAGAAATTAGAGAATCAACACCTTTTACAATAGCCACAAATAGCATAAAATATCTCAGAGTAACTCTAACCAAACAAGTGGAAGACTTGTATGTCAAAAACTCTAAAGCAATCCACAGATCCAATGCAATGCCCAGCAAAATTCTTCAAAGACCTCTAAAGTCTTTGAACTTTCTTTGAAGTATTCAACTTGATTTGGAAAAGCAAAAAACAGGCTAGCCAACACAATCCTGTGCAGTAAAAGAACTTCTGGAGGCATCACAATCCCTGAATTCAAACTCTACTATAGAGTTACAGTACAGAAAACAGCCTGGTACTGCCATAAGAACAGACAGGAGGACTAGTGGAACCGAATAGAAGACCAGAATATCAATCCACACATCTTCGAACATCTGATCTTTGATAAAGAAGCAAAAAAATGTCAAATGGAAAAAAGAAAGCATATTTAACAAATGGTGCTGGCATAACTGGATATCAACATGTAGAGGAATGAAAATAGACCCATATCTATCTCCATGCACAAAACTCAAGTCCAAATGGATCAAAGACCTCAACATAAAGCCAGCCACACTGAACCTTATAGAAGAGAAAGTGGGAAGTATGCTTGAATATATTGGCACTGGGAACCACTTGCTAAATATAACCCAGCAGCACAGATACTGAGAGAAACAATTAATAAATGGGACCTCCTGAAACTGAAAAGCTTCTGTAAAGCAAAGGACACAGTCAATAAGACAAATGATAGCCTACAGAATGGGAAAAGATCTCCACTAACCCCACATCAGACAGAGGTCTGATCTCCAAAATATACAAAGAACTCAAGAAATTGGACACCAAAAGATCACATAATCCAATAAAAAATGAAATACAGACCTAAACAAAGAACTCTTAACAGAGGAATCTAAAATGACTGAAAGACACTTAAGGAAATGTTCAACATCCTTAGTCTTCAGAGAAATGCAAATCTCTGAAGATTTCCATCTTACACCTGTAAGAATGGCCAAGATCAAAAACACTGATGACAACTTATACTGGAGAGGTTGTGGGGAAAGGGGAGCACTTCTGCATTGCTGGTGGGAATACAAGCTGGCACAACACCTTTGGATGTCAGTGTGGTGATTTCTCAGAAAATTAGGAAACAACCTTCCTCAGAACCAGAAATACCACTTTTGAGTATATATCCAAAGGATGCTCAATTATGCCATAAGGACACGCTGCTCAACTATGTTCATAGCAGCTTTTTTTTTTTGTCATAGCCAGAACCTGGAAACAACCTAAATGCCCTCGATTAAAGAATGGATAAGAAAAATGTGGTACATTTACACAATGGAGTACTCCACAGCAGAAAAAAAAAATGACAGCTTGAATTTTGCAGGAAAATGGATGGAGCTAGAAAACATTATTTTGAGTGAGGTAACCCAGACACAGAAAGACAATTATCACATGTACTCACTCATTGGTTGTTTTTAAAGCAAAGAAAGCCAGCCTACAACCCACAATCCCAGAGAACTTAGACAAAAATATGGACACTAAAAGAGACTTACATAGATATAATCTACATGGGAAGTAGAAAGTAGAAAAATCAAAATCTCCTGAGTAAATTGGAAGCATGAGAACCTTGGGGGAGGATTGAAGTGGGGACAGGAGAGGCAGGGAGAGGAGCAGAGAAAAATGTAGAGCTCAATAAATATCAGATATATATATTGAGCAGGAAGGATGCTAAGCAAAGGAGATTAGATTTAGAGATCTCATTCTGAAAAGAAAACAGGGGATATAGAAACGATAGGATGGGGAAGGAAAAGCTGCTTGGTATCCTAGATCCGAAATCCACACTAGGAGCGGGGAAACAGTCTTAAATGGCATCACCCCTCAAAATACGCAGGACATTTACAAACCCCATAGACAGGACTGGGTCACATCACAGACTTACCGTGCTGGCAGAAGAGTCTAGGAAGCAACAGAGCAGGTGCTGTGGTCTGAGAACCCAAAGGCGATGCTCCGGCCATCCGCCTCATCTGCTCAAAGGTATGTCTGCGGCAGGACCCTTGGAGCCTGCACATCACCAGGCTGGGCGGTGGGACCTGAAGTCCTTCAGCATCAGAAGTCTTTAGAACCTGGTGTAGGGTGCCCAGGGTTTGTCCCAATTTCCTCCCTTCCTCTCCCACCTCTGGCCTCCCAGGCCGGGCCCCACTCACTCTGAAGAAAGCCATCTGGAGCCCAAAAGAACAAAGGACTGTGAACCTGCAGTCTGTTTACCCGGCTCCCTCCACCCCTCCCGATTTAGCCTCTGGCTCTTTTTCTTCATTGCTGCTTCAGGGCTCTGCTGTCAATTCTTTGCCCTATCCACCATTTCTGATTATCCAAATCACTTGCCTCCCCAACCGTGTGCCTCCCACCCAAACCCTCCCCCGACTTGAAGGCTCTAATCTCAACTCTGCCTCCAACTTCCTGGACCACACCAGATCTGTCAAAGTTCTATTAGGGCTCAGGAACTGCGGGCTGCCTCCTGGACCCTGAGTCTGGGACTAGATTCGGAAACCAGACCTGTCACTCACAGTGATAGAGGGGATTCTTCTCTGTCAGGTGCGTTCAGGAAGCAAAAGGAAGCCCCAGGTTCGGGAACTGGGGCAACGACTCCAAGGTAGTGGTGGGGTCACAGGAGGTAGTGGTGGGGTCACAGGAGAACCTGCCCCGCTTCACGCGGTTCGCTGTCCCTCCATCTTCTCAAGGTGCAGCCCCCCCCCCCCCCCGGCAGCCCTCGAGGAGGGAACGCAGACTTCAGCCAGCCGGTGTTCCAGCTCCTCCCCCGTGCGCCACAGTCAAGAGCAGGGCACCGACCCGGCTGTGAGGGATCCCGACAGGACGAAGGCCGCGAGGGTGTGGCGAAAGCACGGAGACATGACCTGGCTACTCCTGGCGCTCTGGGCGTCCCTGGTGTCAGTGGAGCTCGCCCAAGACTCGGAGACTAGGGAGCCAGGTAAGGAATGGACAGAGCTGGAGGGGGATGGAATGGGAGTGGGGTCCAGCCTGCGCTGCCCACCCACCAACGCACATTCTTGACCACAGCCAGAAACCTGAGCTGCTTCCAGTGCTTCAAGGTCCACAAGCCCCGCATGTGTAGGCCCAGGATGTGCCGACCAGAGGAAAAAGTCTGCCTGAGCAACGAGGTGTTAATTTACTCAAGTGAGTCCTTCCTCGGGCCTGGAAGGCTCCAGAGCCAGTGGCAAGACTGGGCCCCCACCCCACACCTGCAGCCCCAATGCCTCCTTTAGGTGCTGACCTATACTGGAAGGTGTGGTCTGGAATTTGCCCGTTCCTTTTTCTCTCCCAATTGTGTACCTGTTCGTGTGTCACTCTTTCAAGAACTCACCCTGGGACAAAGGCTCTGATGCCTTGAATTCCCAAATGAACTGGTGTGCAAAAACAGAGCCCATCAACCAGGGACAGATTTGCCAAGGCCGCCCACCCTCATGGGGACATCATGGGGTCGTGAAAACAGTGGGACCTTAGGTAAGATCAGTCTTAGAGAAGATGAAGGAACGAGAGCCAACACATTACTTTTCCATCACCATGAGAAGGCAAAAATATGAAAATGTCCAGAAACCAGAAATGATCAGACAGACCTGTGTTGAGCTCACCGTGGTGGTAGTAGCTGCACCGACCTCGATCTAGTTCCCTGGGACCATGCAGAAGCCTCAGAGCTGCCTCCTCTCTTGAGGTGAAAGTCTTGAGCCTGGCTGGCTGCAGAGTAATTCATGAAGTTTAAGCATCTCCAGGTTCCTGGCTTCCTGAGAATAATGGCTTGCGCTAAAACAAGCCCTGAAGGAGTTGTACAGCGTGTGCCTGGGTTGGGGGAAGGGTGATAAACTGTCCTTTGCAGTAGTCTCCGCAGTCACTGAAACTGCCTTGGGCTGCCTCTTCCAGCTGTGTTTCCTCCTTTGTAGTTAAATCCAGTGAAAGTCTTTGGTCCCAAGTGGGGTTTTCCCAAGGAGGGCCACAGTTTCCCCAGGGCACGGTCCCTGTTCTTATCAGCAACAGCCCTGCCCTGCAGTCTCTTTCTCTCCTTACAGCTCAGGGATTTGTGTAGTGACAATTTGGAAGCGGAGGAACTACTTCCGCACCTTTCTCCAACTTTCTCTTCCAGTCTTGAATCCTCGCCTGGGTGCCCCACCCCCCAGTTTTTTGTTCCACTGCTCTTGAGCCAAAAGGTAACCGCTGACGTTCTGTGCAGGGCGTGGGCTCAGAGGACTCCCTTTTGGGTGCTACCTGTCCTGAGAAGACCTGAGGTGCCCACTAGGGAGGTTCAGAGCCAAGGCTTCCAAGAAGGCCGCAGACTCCACACTCTCTGCTAGAGAATCCTTGGTCATCCTAAATTCTGTGCCACCAATGTACTCTTTGGCGACCAGTTCTTTTCGACTTTGCACCCTTTACTCCGCCTCCTGGGCCACCTAGGGCTGCTGAAAAGAGCCCCCACCTCTTTGCTGTACCCCAGGTTGGTGGTGACTCTGAGTAGCAGAGCTCCTATTGCTGTGTGGGCAGTGTCTGAGAAAGGACAACAGAAGGTGGCCCAGCAGGACCAGACCCAGCCATCCACTTTAGAAGCTTCTCCCCACTCTGTCTAGCCTCGGGGTTCTAGAACCACATGCAGTCTCTTTTCTTCTGCAGGAACAAGGAGCAGAACACAGATCAGCAAGGCCTGCGCTGTCACATGCCCCAACTCCAACAGTGTGTATGAGTGGGAAGTGAACAAAGAAATTTGGGCCAGGATCACCAGAGTATGCTGCTCAGGGAATCTCTGCAACAGAGTACCTGGCGCTGTGTTCAGGACCCTGCCAGGGAGGATCTTGCTGCCACTGGGTCTGGGCCTCTTCTACACCCTGTTGTGAGGAATACCCTGCAACACCCCTGCCACCCCTTGTAGTACCTCCTGTCTTCCACCTCAAGTAGCTATTGTAATGGGTTAATAAAACACGCTGCGGATCCCCTAGTGGCTGCAGGCAGCAAGCAGCGGATCCCCTGAGCAGCTAGTCCCAGGCAGGGACAGTGCGTGAGATCACGAGGAGGGAAAGATAGATAGGCATGTCATAAGCTGCAGGTTTCCAAAGACGGCTGGTCCTGGGCAGGGAGTCATACAGGCAGGAGAGAGATAGAAACTTGGATAGGCACACCATACAGAGTGAGGATGGACATTTATTTAGTGGGTTATGGAGGGGAAAGGAAGAAAGGGAGACTAGCAGAGAGAGAGAGAGAGACAGAGAGAGAGAGAAGGGAGAAACAAAAGCTGCCTCTTTGAGAGGGAGACAGAAAAGGAAAGAACTCAGGCTGCAAGCAGGAAAAAAATCTCCCTGCCTCAGCAGACAGGGGTGGGAATGGGCGTGGCTTGCCTCTTAAAGAGACAGAACAGACCATTACAGTCCCATCTCTTTTATAATAAAAAGGTGGGAGGTTAGGCACCACAGGTTAAAGAAATTAGGGTGGTAGACTCTGTCTCCCCCACTCTCTGCCTCTCTGCTCTTCTCCCCTTCTCCCTTCCCCCTCCATAACCCACTAAATAAATATCCAATCTCACTCTGCCTGGTGTGCCTATCCATCTCTCACCCACCCCTGGGGACCAGCCTTCAGAGATCTGCGGCATGCGCCTCATGGTTCCCTGCCCAGGACCATGGTTCCCTACCCAGGACCAGCTGCCTTCGGAGACCTGTGGCATGGGAACTGCACCGTCCCTGCCTGGGACTGGCTGCTCTGGGGCCCACTGCCTGCTCCCACTCTGGGACCTGTGACGTGGTCTCATGGCCTTCTGCCAGCTGCAGCCACTCAGGATCCACAGCATTTTACTTTTACCATTAGAGCTATCCCATCTCCATCCATTCCAGGACTTGTAAGGTGATGCTCAGACCCTCAGTTGGAAGGGAGGACACCAAACCCTTTCTCCATACCCAGAAGCCTGCTCCTAGCTGACATCTTGGCTCAGAGAAGTGGAAAGCCCTGATGCTCCTCATAGAGACAGACAAATGAATATTTCCAAAGCAGGGCACTGGCTTCTTTGAGAAAGCTCCTGACCCTTGGCACACTGTCCAAGCTCTGTGAGTGGCAGAACAGACCTGGTGAAGCCAGGGGTTCAGCCACATCTGCCCCTGGTCCACCTTCCCTCATAGCAGCTCACTTGACTGATGGAGTCCAGGCTGAGAAATGCTATGGGACTCTGTTCATGCACTGGGACTGCTGTGTCTCACTCCTCAGAGACAGTAACCTCTCAGTGCCCCACAGCTCACCTCTTCCTTGTCCCATCGCCCCAGACACCTGTTCCATTTCCAGCTCTCAGCACAGGCTGCTATGGATAGAGCAGGCAAGATCTGGATGGATACACCCAGTCAGGAATCAGCCACACCGAACACGGAACTGGCCTCAAAGCATGTGGCCCAGCATAGGGTGGGCACACAATCCAAGCTCAGACCTGGGGTCCTAAGAGAGCACACTGGCCACTCTATGAGGAGGGGATGGGGACAGAGTCAGGAGTGCCACAAGGACAGCAGAGAATGCCAGGGTGGTCTCAGAACATGTCTGGTTGGAGCTTCACCATAGGAAGTGAGGTCTGGTGGACATGATTTGGCAGCTGGCCTTGGAAGGGTTCCTGGGTAAGGCCACAGGCAAGGAGCACAGGGAGGGACTAGGAGACTGATGGGCAGCTTAAGGCCAGCCAGGCTGAGTGGATTCTACAGGGCCTGAAGAGGCTGTCTAAGAGAACAAGGAGACTGCTGTGACAGGTGTATTACCCTCATCTTGCTATGACCACATTGCTTTGGCTCACGGTTCCAGTCCACCGTGAGGGAGAAGGCATGGGCGGAACGCCACTCTTGGCAGTGGAATCATGTTATGAGGCTGTTGACATCATGCTTTACTAGAAAACTGAGCGTAAAGTTGGAACCAGGGTCCAGGTGTGACCTCCAGGAGTCCACCCCTACCACCTGCTTCTACCAACTAGACCCCCTTTCCTGAAGGTTCCACGGCCTCCCAGAATAGTGCCACCAGCTGGCGAACAAGGTTTGAAACTGACCCTGAAGGGGATGTTTCAGATTCAGACCCTAACAGCAAGTGAGCCTGGGGGTGGGGGTGGTACCTTGCCCCCACACCCCCACTTCTGCCCACTCTGGTCCTCACACACCTGCCTCCCTCACCCTGCTCTTCATGCTCCTCCACCCGACTCTTAGCTGAGGTGGCAGGGAGGATAACATACCCTCCACCAGGGACCCTACAGCCTCTTCCTAACCAACACCTTGACCCAGTGACTGACATGGCCCCCAGCCCCTTGGTGGGCCTGGATAACCCTGAGTCTGGTATCTCTGTTCCCAGGATCGCTGACTAAAGCAAGACCTTCTCTTGCTTTTAGGACTTTTTTTTTAAGCCGCCATGGGTTTTCACACTGAGTTTTAACCCCACTTGCTCCCCACACTGGCCAAGCAGTGAGTCATGTCTACTGCTTAGTGGTCCAGGGTGGCAATCCTGGAAGTGTTAGGGCTTCGAGAGCCTCTGGGTCTCCAGACCTGGGACATCCTGGCTTGTGCTAAGGGAACAGGTACTGAGAAAACCATCTCGCCATGGCAGGGTAGTCTCCTGTAAAAATTGTGTGTAAGTACCACCTGGGTATTGTGCTGGTGATGCCCATGTTTGAGGGTGACAAGGCCTTTCTCAACCCAGATATCCTTGACCCAAGCACCAAGGTGCCAGACAATCAACAGTCCCCGAAAGTCAAACGGAGACAGATGCTTTCTAATCCATCCCCTCACAGCTGTGACAATGGAGGATGTGGACACACCAGTGAGCAAAAAGAAAGCAGACATCTCCAAGGAAAGAGCAGGCAAAACTCACTCCCACCCTGGGAGAGGAACCAAAGAAGACACTGTGAGGTGCCTTGTTTGGGGGCTTTTCATAAGAGTTATAGTTAGGACTACGCAAAGATTAGGATTTTATGGAGAGGTTAATCATGCAGACATGGCATAGGCCAACCAATGGCAGGGCTCGTGGGCTCTGTGCATGCCTCCTGGTCCAGCCTGGAGATAATTTTCATACTGCTTGCCCAACTGGGTGTGTTCACACAGGAAATCCCCCTTCTGTCCTACCTTAGCCGCACTCACGTTGACTCTTGCGTCAGTCACACCAAGCTTGACAGACGTTGACAATCACAGAACTTGTGGGTAATGCTGGTCCCCGACATTGGCTTTTGTTTGCTGATCATTGACATGTTTACAAAACCAGATTGTGGTTTTACCATAGGCCTTTTTTTCCTTTACTGCCTATAGACAGCTAACTCCTTATCTCTGGGTGAATCTCAGGCCACTAGGGAAGCTTTCCCACCCAACCTCTGTATCAGTTACTCTATACCTTTAGAGTTGGGGCCTAAGTTCCTCTTTTGGAACTTGGGCTTCAGTCTTTAAGTCTTTCAGTATCCTTTAAGCTGGAAACCAGAAACTTACAGAATAAGTGAATTTTTCAGTTAACGATGGGTCTATGTGTAGATAGCTCAGTCTGTAAAGTACTTTCTCTATATGCAGGAGGACCTAAGTCTGATCCTCAGAGCCACGAAAAATGCTGGGTATGGCAGCATGTGTGTATAATCCCAGCACAGAGATAGGCGGATGCTGGGGCTCGATGGCCAGTCAGTCTTGCCTAGCAGTGAGCTCCAGGCAAACGAGAATCCATCTCAAAAGAAATGGATGGCCACTCAAAAGTGATCACAGAAGGTATAGTCACAGGCTTGTGAACTGTCTCCCCTACAGCTGCTCTCCCAAGTATTACTGGCCTCCCACAATCCCATCACTGTCCCAGTCTCTCTTAGACCCTAGACACTTTCCTGTTACCTGGACCAGAGCCGTGTGGCTTTCATGGGCTGCAGTCCAGCCTGGCTATGAGCACCCAACATGGCACGGCAGGACTATGCAGACATCCAGGCAGGTAGCTCATTCCCTTAGCTGGACATGCAGAGGCCTGAAGAACAGGCAGCTGGGCCGGCCACCTAGGCGGTGGGATTGAAGGTGTGTGCTACCACTGCCTGGCCTCTATGGCTAACTAGTGGCTTAGCACTGCACTCTGATCTTCAGGCAAGCTTTATTTGTTAGATCACAAGCAAATTATCACTACAAGGCTGTATCTGCCTTTTTCGTTACTGACTTCCAGTAATTAATTCCCAGTAATTTCCAGTAAGGCTGGGGGGTGGTAAAAGTGTCATCGAGGAGGAGACTAGCGAAGAGAGACGGGATCGGGCCACTTTGAATGAAAGCAGTGAACTGAAAGCTAAAGCCAAGATTTCTTTTCACACCTGCGCACAGTGAGGGCCTGAGGGACCCACCTGACCAGTTTGTTCTGTTGACCTTGAACTTGATGAAACAAACTGTCCTCAGGATCCTCAATACTTGGCCGCACTCCTCCCGGGCTGGGCGGGGTACCCTGCTGACTCCAATCACTCACGGCTCAGGTGGAATTAGGAGCCACAACTCAGGGGGAAGCCACGATGGGGTCTGTTATGAGGAGGGCCCAGTGCTGGTCCCAGGTGCTGTGTGACCCAGCTGTCCCTCCTGCCAGGCCCCAGGGGGTGCAGTTAAAGAACTAAGAGAGCCTCTGGGCACCTTCTGTCCTCTACAGGGGCCCAGTCAGGTTGGGGAAGGGAGTTGACTTGTGGTACATTAACCCAACAGAACACATGCAAACGGCATGAAGGGGAGGGTGGGAGTGGGGGATGGGAAGTAGGAGGAGTGTGGGGGAGGGGTTTTCATAGGAAAAAAGCAGGTTGGAGGTGTGGCCTGTTGGAGGTGTGGCCTGACCACACATATCATAAAAGGGCCTGGGTGGTCAGCCCAGAGCAAACTGAAGGCATGTCAGGGTTCTCATTACCACAGACTCCAAACCCAGCTAGTCAGGCTAGGCTGTGCCTCCAATTCATTAAACCAGGGCCAGTAGGATGGTCCCATCCTCCTGAGTCCTCCACAGCCTGTTGCATTGCCTGGGGGCGCTTCTGCACACCTGGTGGCTAGTCCAGGTAAGAGACCACTTTGAAATGTGACTAGTCCTATGGTGTTCCAATGATGTTGTGCCAATGGATACGTGGACACCCCAACACAATGATGCTGAGCCTTTCTGCACCCGACCCCAACAAGTGCTTTGAGGGTGCTGGCTGGTGCTGTGGACAGTGACAGCGGCAGCCCTCTTGACTGAGGGCTATCTGTCCTGTGGCTGCCAGCAACCCTGTTTTCCTTTGGTTTTGAAGGAAGGCTGGAGGGCAGGGCCACGCGGTTCCTGTTGGCATCTCTTCTGCTGTGGTCCCACCACCTTATTTTGCCCGGCCACCCTCTGGGTACCAACTTTTGCCTTTCTCCAGCAAGGAGGCTGCTCTCCCTAGGCATTGGGATGCCTGGGTGTGAAAGCTGGTGCACGCCAGCTTCATCCAATCCATTCTTCCGTTCCCAGGACCTGCAGCAGCAAAGTCCTCAGAAGGACCTGCCAGGCTGCTCGGCTCTGGGGCCTTGGACACTCTGAGCTCCTGTCTCCCCACAGCAGCTGGTGTTCCTGCAGAGCCCCAGGCCCCTTTTGTTCACAAGACACGCTTCTTAGAGCTTGCATTGGTATTAGGATCCTTCCACAGCCCTGACCTTTCCTTCTGCCACCAGCCAAGTAAGCGCCTTGTCTCACTGTGGACCAAACTTCCTGGAAACACAGCACGCCCACTTGACCACAGGCTGGCAGGAACGTTAGTGATTGTAGAGAGGGTTGAGTCTTGCCGGTCCAGGGCCTAATTACAAATTTTCTTGGGCTTTTGGGCCCTTTGATAGCCATTTATTATTGACCTCTGTATGTGACCCGGCATCTTTATGACAATCAGGGAAATTCTTTGAAATGTATGAACAAACCAACCCAGAGGCTAAATACCTCATCAGATCCTGTCTGAGGCCAAAACCTAAGATTTCCCCAGCTTTGCTTTAACTTTACCTGCTCAGTGTGTCCACCAATGTATCTAAAGAGTCTTGATTTATGGTTTTATTGTTTTGTTATTATTTTTTTAAAAAAAAGAACCCTCTATGGAACTATTACCACATTGAACATGGGATTTGGAGTAACTGGAAGCTGTGGTCATACATATTTAGTTCCAGAATAAACTATCTTATCTCCATTGAGGTGAGAGCTGCCCTTTGGTACGGATATCATGGAGGACAGAAATCAAACATGAACAAGTTCCCCTGGCCAGAGGGGAGACAGAATACAGCATTCCACTGACCAAACAGCCGCATCAGATGCCTGCAGAGAACAGCTGCATGGCCAGGAGCTGAGCAGTCCCTGGGGCCAGGGTCTGGGCTCCTCCCTGTCCCCTCTCTGCCCAGCCCTCCCCAGTGTCATCTCTTGTAGAGAAGGCTGAAGCTGTCTTACTGCAATATAAAGCAAAGATTAATCTCAGGCAGGGGTCTCTATTAAGTCCTAGCACCCATCCCCAAGTTTGTGAAATAGGGTCACATGTGAAGGACCCAAAGCATCCTGCAGTCCTCAAGGGGGCAAATGGCTGCCACTCCCACAGCTCAGAGTTTATTTGGGTCAGGACAGGTATGCCTGTAGTCTCATAATCCTGCTGCCCACAGGAACGCACAGAAATCATTGATTTCTGTACTCCATGATATCAAAGGGCAGCTCTCACCTCAAAGGAGATAAGATAGTTTATCCTGGAACCAAATATGGGTGACCATGGCCCCAGAGCACAGCTTCCAGTTACCCCAAATACCATGTATTTGGGCCAGGCACTAAGGTCTGGGAAGGCTGGGGTTCCAGAGCCCTGTGGTGGACATGAGGGGACAGCTGGCCATTCTCAATAAGACTCAAAGAGGGCACAGCTGACCTCACTGAGAAAAACCTTTCTCCCCTGGAACCCTGCACTGCCCCATCAGGTCATCCGGGCTACTTCAACCTGAAGAAATTATTTCTTCTTGGTGCCACCTCCACACATGCTCTGATTGGCCAGAGCCTTCTTCTAATGTGGTCTGAGGTGCTGAGCCATGTCCTCACACAGTAAGCAGGCAGTAGGGCCGACAAGGGTCTGCAGGGCGTGTGAGGGGCCACAGGCACCTCAGGCAGTCCCACTGTCTTATGGGGGGAAATGCTACCCCCAAGACCAGACTTGCCTATGTGAGCTTGCCATGATCTGGGCATTCTCCCTTCCTGGGCTACCAGGCAGGTCAAAGACCCAAGTGCCTAAAGCTGAGTCCATAACACCAGAGACGTTGGTCCTGGCTGCATGCATCCCACTTTCACTGAAGTTAGAGGACCCGCGAGGCAGTGTGCATGCTGTGTCGCTGCTCACCTTCCCTCTGCACTGAGAGACCCTACCCCAGCAATGCCTCGCCAGGTTTGAGGTCAGCACGCCGCACACAGGAGGGGCTGAGTGGGGGTCTGGATTCCTCCAACACTGCCGAGTGTCACTGACCAGACAGACACAGGGTGCCTTTTCCCTGAGTCTTGACTTGAAACCCTACCATCCTTGATGATGCTGGTCGGTGCTACACCTCTTCCCAGTGTGTCACTTGCTCCGTGTCCCTCAAGGTGTCTTTTCTTAATTTTAGTAAGACACCCATAGCAAAACATAGCACCTGAGCCATTTTCAAGTGTCTAGTTCAGAGGCATGAAGCCACTGGCGCTGCTAGGCAAGCAAAGTCCTACTAACTTCCTCCAGGGCTCTCCCACCCTTGGCAACCACAGGCTAGGCCCGCCTATGACCGGAATCACACAGGGCTGTCTTTTTGCGCCTCGTCATCATGTCCTCTAGGTCCGTCCCATTCCATGTGGCCTATTTGCCTTCCTTCTTATGACTGCACAGCATCCCTTTCGTGTTTTGTCTCTGTTTTGTGTTGTCATGACAAAATGCCCGAGGCTGGGGCTCTGAGAAGAGAGGAGGCTTATCTAGCTCACAGTTCTTCAGGTTCAGGAGCAAGGCAGCTGCGTCTGCTTAACACTGGCAGATGGGATTCAGGAGAGGTAAGGAAGAGTCAGTCCTCTGAAAACCCAACCAAACCTTCCTAGCCAGGCGGTGGTGGCACACGTCTTTAATCCCAGCACTCAGGTGGATCTCTGTGAGTTCGAGGCTAACCTGGTCTACAGAGTTTCAGGACAAACTCCAAAGCCACAGAGAAACCCTGTCTCAAAAAAAAAAAAAAAAAAAAAAAAAAAAAAAAAAAAAAAAAAAAAAAAAAAAAAAAAAAAAAA